TGGCAAGATCTTAGCCCACTTCAGTCTTTGGACTCCAGGGCCCAAATGACCCTCCCACCACAGCCTCCTGAGTAGCTGGGACTACCGATGAATGCCACCACACCAGTTAATTTTTAAAAATTCTTTGTAGGGATGGGGTCTCACTGTATTGCCCAGGCTGGTCTCAAACTCCTAGGCTCAAGCAATCTTCCCGCTTTAGTCTTTCAAACTGTTGGGATTACTGGCCTGAACCACCAAGACCTGTGATTATCTGATTTTAAATTCATGATCAAGAATCTCAATGCCAGGACCGTCAGTAACGCCTGATAACTCATACTGTACTTCCCTAGCCCAGTCACTCTTCTATTTCCTATTTCAACACCGTCACATTTTCATCTTTCCCCTCCCATAGTCATTCTCAGATGATAACCTTATGTCCTACTTGACTGAGAAAATTGAAGTAAGCAAAAGAGAACTTCAGATTCTGTTCACCGTATCTACCCACCCACTGGCATCCTCTGCCTTCGCTCCTATTACCCTACCCTAGAGGAACTGTCCATGTTACTAAGGCCTAAGGCAATGTCTCTACTTTGCATGAAGTCCCATCCCCTTTTTCCTAACTCAATAACGGCACTTTTCCCCTTTCCCTTCTATATCATTGCATGCATATATATATATATACACACACACACACACACACACATACCTCTCCACTGATGTATTTCCCCACAGTATAAATATGCTATATTTCTTTTTCATTTGTTTGTTTTTGAGATGGAGTCTTGCTCTGTCGCCAGGCTGGATGGAGTGCAGTGGTGCGATCTTGGCTCACTGCAACCTCCACCTCCCGGGTTCAAGTGATTCCCCTGCCTCAGCCTCCCAAGTAGCTAGAACTATAGACCTATGCCACCACGCCCAGTTCATTTTTTGTATTTTGGTAGAGACGGGGTTTCACCATGTTGGCAAGGATGGTCTTGATCTCCTGACCTTGTGATCCACCTGCCTCAGCCTCCCAATGTGCTGGTATTACAGGCGTGAGCCACCCAACCTAGCATCCTTTATTAATTTTTGGGGGGGGAGAATAGAGTCTCATTCTGTCGCCCAGGTTAGAGTGCAATGTTTCGATCATAGCTCACTGAAGCCTTGAACTCCTGGGCACAAGTTGTCCTCCCACCTCAGCCTCCTGAGTAGCTGGGACTACAGGTGCACACCACCATGCCTGGCTAATTTCTGTATTTTTTGTAGAGACAAGGTCTTGCTGTGTTGCCCAGGCTGGTCTCAAACTCTTGGGCTCAAGCAGTCTACCCGCTTCAGCTTCCCAAAGTGCTGGGATTACCACCACTGGCCCACTGTTATTTATTTCCCCCATTCTTAAAAATATTCCTCTTGATTCCACATCTTCTTCCAACTACTGCCCTATTGTTTTGTTCTCTTTTACAACAAAACTCTTCAAAAGATACTCACCTCTCCAGTCCCTCCCCCATTCTCTCTCAAATCCACTCCAATCAGAACGATGAGACATACGACAAATTGTTTTAAGCCTTTCAGTTTTAGAGTGATTTGTTAGGTAGGGATAGATAACCGGAACAATATGCCAGAGAGAGTACAGGTCTCCTCTAGGAGAAGAGAGAATCTATATACTAAGAGAGTTGGGCCAGGTGTGGTGGCTCATGCCTGTAATCTCAGCACTTTGGGAGGCTGAGGCAGGAGGATCACTTGAGCCCAGGAGTTCAAGACCAGCCTGGGCAACAAAGGTCCCATCTCTACAGAAAAAAATTTTTTGTAACGATTCTCCCATCTCAGCCTCCCAAGTAGCTGGGACCAGAGGTACATCCCACCACACTCAAATCTGTTTTTGTTAGTTAGTTCATTTGTTTTGTAGAGATTAGGTCTTGCTATGTTGCCTAGGTTGGTCTCAACTCCTGGGCTCAAGTGATTCTCCTGCCTTGGCCTCCCAAAGTGTTGGGATTACAGGCGAGAGCCACAATGCCTGGTCTACAAAAATTAAAAACATTATTAGCCATGCACGGTGGTGCACACCTGTAGTCCCAGCTATATGGGAGACTGAGGCAGGAGGAGCACTTGAGCCCAGGACATTGAGGTTTCAGTGAGCCATGATTATGTCACTGCACTCCAGCCTGGGTGACAGAGTGAGATAGTCTTAAAAAACAATTTGGAAAGAAAAAAAGAGAGAGTTGCATGATTTTGCCAGATATCAGAAGAGGACTGGGGAAGAGCTGAGAGTATAAGTTATAAGGGTGTTGGACCAATGGGGAGAAAGTATAATATTCAAGCCAAATTAATTGACCTGGGTGTACTCCCCCAGGATTTAGAATATAGAATGTTGGCTGGAGTACCGGGGATGGTTCTAACAGTCTGAAAAGGTTAGCCAGTGAAAGCCTGGACTCAATGATAGTCTAGAGTTAATGAGATTGAAATGCCAAAAATTCCCTAACATATTACAGACAAAGGGTTAGAAAATTCAGGGAAATAGGACTGGGTCCATTATGATCAATCTTCTCAGCCATTTACTAACTTGACTCTTCTGGGAAGATTCAAGAAACTCTCCTTTCACTAAGACATGAGGAAATGCACTAGTGAGCCAGGGACTAGCATCCTCAAGGAGCACTATAGGTCAGAGGTGTTGCTGGACAAGGCTGCAGTGAAAATGTGTGCTTTCATTTCAGTGGGAATAATGGGGTCCTGGCATGTCAAAGGCGAGGTAGTAGCTTCACTGTTAGGGACAACATGGTGCCACTACCACAGTAAACCACAGAGATGGAATAGTAATCAAACTGCTTAGATCTGCTGAGCCCTCTGGCAAGGGCTAACGGATGATGGGGTCCTGAAAAATCATTAATTCACTGCTTCCTAAGATGCTGCTTGACATCTAGGCAGAAAAAAGTCTAGGTCCGTTAGGCAGAACCCTAACTTGAGTTGCCACACCGTGCATTGTACCTAATTCCCAGACCTGTGTCAGTTCAGAGACCGAAAGCTCCTCCATCCACCGAAGAATACCATGAATGTTCCTTCAAGCCAGTGTTTCTCTCAACCTTGGCCCCACTGACATTTTGGGCAGGGTATTTCTTTGTTATGGGGGCTAGCTTGCGCATTATGGATCTGAAAATGATGCTGACACTGACAAGAAGGGGACGACTATACTTCGGCATGACTGTTAAACCCACTTAGGCATGACTGTTAAAGACTGTGCTGAAGGGAAATCCTCCCTGTGGACAGAACCTTGAGTGATATATCTGGTTGTTTACTTCATGGCTTAAGGCACAAAGATCTCTGATGACTTATGAGCCATGGCTAGTGGATTGGCTGGCTGGCTGGAGACTTGAAAAAAACTAATTGAAAAACTGGTGATTAGGTGGACTATGCATGGACCTTTTGGAATGGACACAGAGGGCGGGAATATTTGTGTGCCGCATATATATCCAGTAGATTGTATCACTATGGTGGAGGTTCTCAAAAATCAGATGATCAAGATGACCTATTTTGTGAATGTCAGTAAGCGTCTTTCTCTAGGTATCCCAGTGCTTGTTCAGTGGCTCCGTGTACAAACTGTGCCAGCATGGAAGGAAGTTATGTGTGAGCTAATAACATGGTTTTCCCTCACCAAGGCTGCTCTGACTATACCTACTGCTGAATGTCCCATTGACCAAAAGGTGAAGTCAACACTAAGCCACTGATAAGGCACTGTTGTCCGGGGTGACCAGATGGCCACCTAGTATTAGCTGATTGTGTGAACTCTTCCCAACATAAAAGGAACAGCCCTTTATCTTCTCAGGAATAGCTACATGTTCTGGATAAAATTTTGCACTGTGGCTGAGCGCCGTGGTTCACACCTGTAATTTCAGCACTTTGGGAGGCCGAGGAGGGCGGATCACCTGAGGTCAGGAGTTCAAGACAAGCCTGGCCAACATGGTGAAACTCCCCTCTCTACTAAAAATACAAAAATCAGCTGGACGTGGCGGTGGTCACATGTAATCCCAGCTACTGGGGAGGCTGAGGCAGGAGAATCACTTGAACCCGGGAGGTGGAGGTTGCAGTGAGCCAAGATCGTGCCACTGCACTCTAGCCTGGGTGACAGTGCAAGACTCTGTCTCAAAAAAAAAAAAATTTTTTTAATTTTACATTTTATTCCCTGCCTGCAGAGCTTCTAATAATACCACTATTATGAAGCTACAGAATGCCTTATCTGTTGCTTTAATATTGCATATAATATTGTCTGTGATCAAGGGCATATATTATGGTAAAAGAGGTCTCATATTCTCAAAATTCAGTATATACCTAGATCTTACAGAGCAGCTGGCTTGATAGAACAGTGAATTGGTCTAAGGCTCAATTGTAGTGTGAGCGGGGATACCCTGCAAAGTTGGGATGTTGTCCTACAGGAAGGGGAAGATACCTTAAACCAGCAGTCAATATTTGCACATAACAAGATTGCACGGAGGCCACGCATGGTGGCTCATGTCTGTAATCTCAGCACTTTGTGAGGCCAAGGCGGGCAGATCACTTGAGGTCAGGAGTTCAAGACAAGCCTGGCTAACATGGTGAAACCCTGTCTCTACTAAAATTACAAAAATTAGCCGGGTGTGGTGGTGCATGCCTATAGTCCCAGCTACTCGGGAGGCTGAGGTGGGAGAATTGCTTGAACCCGGTAGGTGGAGGTTGCAGTGAGCCAAGATCACACCACAGTACTCCAGCCTGGGCAACAGAGTGAGATCCCGCCTTAAAAAAAAAAAAAAAAGAATGCGTGTATGCATGGAACTAAGCATGGTGGCTCACGCCTGTAATCCTAGCACTCTGAGAAGCTGAGGCAGCAGGGTCTCTTGAAGCCAGGAGTTCAAGACCACGGTGGGCAGCAGAGACTCAGACTCTAAAAATACAATATTAGCAGTGCACAGTAGCACGTTCCGGTAGTCCCAACTACTTAGGAGATTGAGGTGGAAGGATTGCGTGAGCCCAGGTGTTTGAGGCTGCAGTGAGCTATGATCACACCACTGCACTCCAGACTGAGTGACAGAGTAAGACTATGTTTCTAAAAGTTAAAAAAAGGCTGAGTCCCCTCGCCAGGTTCCCTCCGTCGCCGCCAAGATGATGTGCCGGGCGCCCTCCGCCGTGCAGCCAGCCACCGCCAAGACCCAGTACATCGCCGACCAGGTGAGGTCCCAGCTTGAAGAGAAAGAAAACAAGAAGTTCCCTGTATTTAAGGCCGTGTCGTTCAAGAGCCAAGTGGTGGTGGGAACAAACTACTTCATCAAGGTGCATGTTAGCGACGAGGACTTCGTATACCTGCGAGTGTTCAAATCTCTCCCTCACGAAAACAAGCCCTTGACCTTGTCTAACTACCAGACCAACAAAGCCAAGCACGACGAGCTGAGCTATTTCTGATCCTGACTTCGGACAGGACCCTTCAGCCAGAAGACTGATAATTAAAGTGATCCTCCATGGACCAGAGCATGCACTTGTGATCCTAAAATAAGCTTCGTCTTTGGGCTGTGCCCTCGGAGTGGGAGGGGCGGGATTCAGCAGCTGCTCTTGCATTTCTCTTCCTAAATTTCATTGTGTTGATTTCTTTCCTTCCCAATCAGTGATCTTAATTACTTTCAAAATATTTTCAAAATAGATGTATTTTTTAAATCCTTAAAAAAAAAAAAAAAGGAACACATGAGTGTGAGAACCCAGGTGGAATGTTTCTGCTATCCACACTGGTTTCCCAGGTGTTTCTCTAGAACGCTAGACATGTTCCTGCCTCCGTTCCCTCTGCCTGAAATACTTTCCTCCCAGATGGTCTCTTCATTCCCTCTCAGTCTTTCTTCAAATATTTGCTCAAATGTCAACCTCTTAACAAGGCCTACTCCAACTACTGTGTTTAAAATGGCAAAACCTTTCTTTGCCTTCCTGATTACTCCTTACTATGCATCTCTCTGTAATTCTCTCACCGTCTAACATACATTATGTATTTGTTTATTGTTTATTATTTGTCCTCCTCCCTCTAGAAAGTGAGCTTCGTAACAGCAGGGATTTCTATTTCATTCACTGTTCTATCTCCAGTGACTAACACAGTGCTGGAAACAGTAGGAATTCAATAAACATTTCTCTTGTTTTTTAATTAATTTTTTATTTCCCTAAGATTTGGGGAACAGGTAGTATTTGGTTACATGAGTAAGTTCTTTAGTGGTGATTTGTGAAGTTTTGGTGTACCCATCACCTGAGCAGTACACACTGAACCCAATTTGTAGTCTTTTGTCCCTTATCCCCTTCCCACCCTTTCCCCCGAGTCCCCAAAGTCCACTGTGTCATCCTTATGCCTTTGCAACCTCATAGCTTCGCCCCTAATTATGAGTGAGAACGTACGAACATATAATGTTTGGTTTTCCATTCCTGAGTTACTTAGAATAATAGTCTCCAATCCCAATAAACATATCTTGATTGACTTGAATGACTATCATGAAAGTTCTTAGAGAAGAGTAGACAATATCTCTAGTCTGTTATCTTTACCTATGTCATGGGTTGGTTGGTAAACTTTTTCTGTAAAAGGCCAGATAGTGAATATTTTAGGCTTGTGGGCCATGCATTCTTTTTGCAATCACTCCACATTGGCATTGTAGCACCAAAGCAGCCATTGACTGTAGGTAAGTGAACGGGTGATACATGGAAAGGAAATAAGGGAATTGCTGAGGTCCTGGGAATTGGGAACCTGAGCAGGGACGTGATGTGAAAAGTGCATGACAGGAAATATTTTACACAGATGTGCGTGTACCCTTTTCTTCATGCCTTCTCCACTATCACGGCTAATACTGTTTTTAATTTAAATGTTCAGTTTGATTTTGACTTTTGAGTATTGTACATTTAAAATTGCCACAGAGTACATTTACTAATACAACCTCCAGGTGGAACCCTTTCTTTTTCAGTGCACTGTTCCACAAGTATTCACTGAATATCTACTATGTGACAAAAACGAAGTGTTAGGGTACAGTTTTGAATCAAGCAAAGATCTTATGCTGGAAAAGCTTATATTCTAATGGAGAAGACAGATGATAGATAGCATGTATAAAAAAGGTAATTTCAGATAGTGATATGTTCTACAAGGAAATTACATAGAGCAATAGGAGAGCTTCCCTGAGGACATGCTATTTAAGCAGAAAACTGAAGAATAAGTAGGAGGCATGCAAATACCTGAGGGTAGAGTTGTTTTACTTTATTCTACTGTGGTAAAATATTCATAATGTAAAAATGTAGCATTCAAATCTTTTTTTTTTTTTTGAGACAGTGTTTCACTCTTGTTGCCCCGGCTGGAGTGCAATAGCGTGATCTCGGCTCACCACAACCTCCACCTCCCCAGTTCAAGTGATTCTCCTGCCTCAGCCTCCCAAGTAGCTAGGATTACAGGCACACACCACCACATCCGGCTAATTTTGTATTTTTAGTAGACACGGTGTTTCTGCATGTTGGTCAGGCTGATCTTGAACTTCCGACCTCAGGTGATCTGCCTGCCTCGGCCTCCCAAAGTGCTGGGATTAAAGGCTCAAATCATTTTTAAGTGTACTGTTTTATGGCATTAAGTATATTCATTGTTGTGCAACCATCACTACCATCCATCTCTAGAACTTCTTTCATCTTCCAAACTGAAACTTCTTGCTCATTAAACAACTCTTCACCCTCTCCCCAATGGCAACCATTCTACTTTCTGTGTCTATGAATTTAACTATCCTCAGTACCTAATATGAGTGGAATCATGTAGTATTTGTCTTTATTTCTCTTAGCATAATGTTTTCAAGGTTCATTCATGTTGCAGTCAGAATTTTCATCCCTTTTGAGGCTGCATAATCTTCTATTCTCTGTGTATACCACATTTTGTTCATTCATTCAACAGTTGATGAAGATTAGGGTTGCTTCTACTTTTGGCTGTTGTGAATAACACTGTTATGTATATGGGTGTATAAACATCTGTCAGAGCCTCTGCTTTCAGTTCTTTTGGGTATATACCTAGAAGTGAAACTGTGGGATTGTATGGTAATTCTGTGTTTAGTTTTTTGAGGAACCACCGTACTGTTCTCCACAGTAGCTACACCATTTTACATTCCACCAACAGTGCACAAGAGTTCCAATTTCTTCACATTCTTGCCAACAATTGTTATTTTCTATTTGTTGGTGTATTTCTTTCTTTTTCTAAAATATCTAAAATGTGTTTATTGGGGTGGTTTCCCATTGATCTTGATTCAAAGTGCTTTTAGTGCTGCCTCCTCCTGAAGGAGCATCCTTCTGTCAGCCTTGCTTTTCCTCCTGTAGGCTGACAGAGAACAGTAGAGCAGTGATATGGTTTGGCTATGTCCCTACCCAAATCTCATCTTGAATTGTAGTTCCCATAATCTCTATGTGTCATGGAAGGGACCTGGTGGGAGGCAATTGAATCATGGGGGCGATTACCCTCATGCTTTCTTGTGATAGTAAGTTCTCATGACATCTGATGGTTTTATAAAGGGCTTTCCCATCCCACTTTGCTTGGCACTTCTTCCTGACACCATGTGAAGAAGGACATGTTTGCTTCCCCTTCCGCCATGATTGTAAGTTTCCTGAGGCCTCTCCAGCCCTGTAGAACTGTGAGTCAATTAAACCTCTTCCTTTTATACATTGCCCAGACTCTGGACAGCCCAGTGGCTCATGCCTGTAATTCCAGCACTTTGGGAGGCCGAGGTGGGTGGATCACTTGAGCTCAGGCATTCAAGACCAGATTGGCCAACATGGTGAAACCCCATCTCTACTAATAATACAAAAATTAGCCAGGTGTGGTGGTGCGCACCTGTAATCCCAGCTACTAGGGAGGCTGAGGCACAAGAATCGCTTGAACCTGGGAGGCAGAGGTTGCAGTGAGCTGAGATCACACCACTGCACTCCAGCCTAGGCAACAGAGTGAAATTGTGTCTCAAAATAAATAAATAAATAAATAAATAAATAAAATAAAAATAAATTACCCAGTCTCACGTATTTTTTCATAGCAGCATGAAAATGGACTAATACAGTAAATTGGTACCACAGAGAGTGGGTTGCTGCTATAAGGATACCCAAAAATGTGGAAATGACTTTGGAACTGGGTAACAGGCAGACTGGAACAGTTTGTAGGGCTCAGAAGAAGACAGGAAAACGTGGGAAAGTTTGGAACTTCCTAGAGACTTGGAGGGCTCAGAAGACGGGAGGATGTGGGAAAGTCTGGAACTTCCTAGAGACTTGTTAAATGGTTTTGACCAAAATGCTGATAGTGATATGGACAATAAAGTCCAGGCTGTGGTAGTCTTAGATGGAGACGAGGAACTTGTTGGGAACTGGAGTAAAGGTCACTCTTGCTATGCAACAAGACTGGTGGCATTTTGCCCCTGCCCTAGAGATCTGTGGAACTTTGAACTTGAGAGGGATGATTTAGGGTATCTGGTGGAAGAAATTTCTAAGCAGCAAAGCATTCAAGAGGAAGCAGAACATAAAAGTTTGGAAAATTTGCAGCCTGACAATGCAATATAAAAGAAACCCTATTTTCTGGGGAGAAATTCAAGCACACTGAAGAAATTTGCATAAGTAACAAGGAGCTGAATGTTAATCACCAAGACAATGGAGAAAATGTCTCTAGCACATGTTGGAGACCTTCACAGCAGTGCCTCCCATCACAGGCCCTGAGGCCTAGGAGGGAAATATGGTTTCCTGGGCTGGGTCCAGGGCCCTCTTGCTGTGTGCAGCCTTGGGACTTGGTGCCCTGCATCCCAGCCACTCCATCTGTGACTAAAAGGGGCCAACGTACAGCTCAGGCCATTGCCTCAGAGGGTGTAAGCCCCACGCCTTGGCAGCTTCCATATGGTTTTGGGCCTGCAGGTGTGCAGAAGTCAAGAATCGAAGTCTGGAAACCTCTACCTACATTTCGGAGAATGTATGGAAATGCCTGGCTGTCCAGACAGAAGTCTGCTTCTGGGGCAGAGCCTTCATGGAGAACCTCTGCTAGGGCAGTGATATGGTTTGGCTGTGTCCCCACCCAAATCTCATCTTGAATTCCCACATGTTGTGGGAGGGACCTAGTGGGAGGTAATTGAATCATGGGCCACTGTCCTCGTGATAGTGAATGAGTCTCATGAGATCTGAGGGTTTAAAAAAATAGGAGTTTCCCTGCACAAGCTCTCTCTTTGCCTGCCACCATGTAAGATGTGACTTGCTACTCCTTGCCTTCTGCCATGATTGAGGCTTCCCCAACCATGTGGAACTGTGAGTTTGCCATTGAACCTCTTGCCTTTGTAAATTGCCCAGTGTCAGGTATGTCTTAATCAGCAGTGTGAAAATGGACTAATACAGGCAGCGTGGAAGGGAAATGTGCAGTTGGAGCCCCAAGAGTCCCCAGTGGGGCACTGCCTAGTGGAGCTATGAGAAGTGGGCCACCGTCCTCCAGATCCCAGAATGGCAGATCCACCAACAGCTTGCCCTGTGCACCTGGAAAAGCTGCAGACACTCAACACCAGCCATGAAAGCAGCTGGAAGGGGGACTATACCTTGACAGGCAACAGAGGAAGAGCTGCCCAAGGCCATGGGAACCTACCTCTTCCATCAGCGTGACTTGGATGTGAGACATGAAGTCAAAGGAGATCATTTTGGAATGTTAAGGTTTAATGACTGCCCTATTGGATTTCAGACTTGCATGGGGCCTATAGCCCCTTCATTGTGGCTAATTTGTCCCATTTGGAATGGGTGTATTTGCCCAGTGCTGTTACCCCCATTGTATATAGGAAGTAACTAATTTGCTTTTGATTTTACAGGCTCATAGGTGGAAAGGACTTGCCTTTTCTCAGATAAGACTTAGGACTTGGACTTTTGGGTTAATGCTGGAATGAGTTAAGAGGGGGACTGCTGGAAGGGCATGATTGTGTTTTGAAATGTGAGGACATGAGATTTGGGAGGGGTCAGGGGAGGAATCTTATGGTTTGGCTGTGTCCTCACCCAAATTTCATCTTGAATTGTAGTTCCCATAATCCCCACATGTCATGGGAAGGACCCAGTAGGAGGTAATTGAATCATGAGGGCAGTTACCTTCATGCTGTTCTCATGATAGTGAGTGAGTTCTCACGAGATCTAATGGTTTTATAAGGGCCTTTCTGCCC